AAAATTTTACCGATAAAAGTGGTTATTACGGCCAGACTCGAAAGCATCTGGACATATGAAATATATCACTCGACTACTTATTGAATGTCCTTTCATTTTATAACAACAATTCCCAAGTGCATTTTATCACACGAATGGTCATAGTCCTTTTCGGCATTTCACCCATTAACATTGAACTTTATCCTTTTATTTTGTTTACATTTTGTTACTAGTATTAACTGTATCCAACTGTATAAAAAACACTTTTTTACATTTCAAAGTTTTAATTATAAAACGGCATGTGTACTGAGGTTATAGTGTATGTCATTGCATTCCCCAATAAACGGTGTATTGAGGGAAAAACTGCAGATCAACCCGTGCAGTCTACCAACAATCGTGCGGTATTTATGAAATGAGCTCTTATAGGCTCTAACATATATAGCAAAGTTTGTTTTAATACATACAATACATAATCATTTTAATCAAAATGTACACTCGAAACCACATTACCTGATGTATTGAGTTTTAGTTAAATGATCATCATTTGTATTTCAATCAATTCATTATTAGACAATTTGTTAAAATCAATGTTTTATTAAAAATATTGACAAACGATTAAATTATAAGTTATAATCAATTATAATTTTATTTAATAATGTATTACAATAGGAATATCACTATTATATTGAACTTTCCGTTACATTCTTACCCTAAAACCATATCAACATTAATAACATCACAATTTATATTATAATTATATATTAAGTGAAATAAAATCTCAATTAGTATTTAAAAGAGAAACACAATTAAAGGTTTAACTGAAATGAAAGGACAATTCAATGAAAGGATTAATCAAAATCATTGGTATCAGTGAAGCCGACATTAAATAAGGCACTGACTGTCCACAAGAGGAGTGTATCAATTGGTGTCAAAATGATATATTGAATACAATATAACAGATACCCGACAAACACGCCGGCGATCACATCAAACACATGGTGTCGGCCAAGAAGTACACGCGATGTGCAGACACACAGACACCACATCCATATGATTAACGACATAAAGGAGTGATTGGCGCAGAAGAGGGCCACATATGTGGCTCGCGAGCAGTGGCCCGACGGTAACGAGTGTTTGTCCGGTCCTATGACTAGCATCTGGTCGTCCTGTCGAGCATAGCCTGGTCTTCGGCGACGAGTCGTCGCCTTTATTACGGCCACAAAAATTATGTCCAAACAAAGACCTATCAATAGTTGGGCGACAGTCTTGTTGTTTGGGATCAAATACAATGAGATAATAGTGATGGCAAACCACGGGATACCATGACATGAGTACTCCAGAGCTTTAAGTAACCATTGATACGATGGGACACGACTGCCGATATGTTTGCCACCAAAACGATACACAGATATCGAGATGTTTTGGTCGATTGTCTTCAAGTAGTCCAACAAATGTTTCTTCATTTTAACCATCATTTCTACTGAAATGTCATTTAAATAACAAATGTTTGATTCATTCAAAATTCAACATCAATTCAATGAGTATTGCATTGAATATTGCATTTGTGTTGACATTCAGTCACTTCTCTAATACTTTNTTCATTTTAACCATCATTTCTACTGAAATGTCATTTAAATAACAAATGTTTGATTCATTCAAAATTCAACATCAATTCAATGAGTATTGCATTGAATATTGCATTTGTGTTGACATTCAGTCACTTCTCTAATACTTTTAGCGCTTCATTTGAAACTCATTTTCACACAATTAATGTGTTATTGTATTCATTAATTGTCTTCATATCACAACTTATGACAATAATTGAGTGTCAAGTTTGAGACCAAAATAATTTATTTTTATTAAATAAAACACATTTATATACATTTGTTAATAGTAAATGAAAACATAAATTCACAAAAAATACATTTAAAAATGCATTTTTAAAACTATAATTACCCACAAAAAAAAAGTTATTTAATGCAAAATTAAAGCCCAAATATATTTTTGGACGTCTGTACAGAAAATCAGCATTAGTTGAGTGCACGGCGTCTGTAAACTACAATAAATTCAAATTCAATAATAATGATTGCAATTATGTTATATTGAAATAATGTTTCAAATCGTCTACACTATAGACTAGCAAATGAGGAATATTCTTGACCTTCATTTGCCTAATCTTTGTTGTCATTAAACCATTTAAACGATTAAAATTGTCGCAAACAGAAGTGTCCATCACTTCCAATGACATGCCATTCACTATAATAGAGGCGATTCCGATGTGTTGTAAAGTATACGCTAAATGAGGCTCTGATTTGATTGCATTGTTGTGAACATTAATCCATTTGATATATTCTGTGAGTTGAGGCCTGAGTTTGCACTCTTGATTCGAGTTATGCTTGATTTCTTTGGCCATACAATATAATTGAGTCTTTCTTTCAAATACAATATCAGGTCTTTCGATAGCAATCGACTCCAGAATAAAATACATATCTTTCGACACTTTATTTCTGTCGGAATTTGAAAAACATTTAATCCATTGCTTAGAATCTAGTGATTGAGTAAACAATTTGTGTGGATATACTTCTAATAATATTAAAGATTTAAAGCAATCAATTAGAAAATGTGGATATGTTTTAAAATCAGTTGTCATAAGTTTTTCAATTTGTTTGACAATACATTCAATCAAATTGTCATTTAGTTTGTAATTCACTGAAGAGACTGCCCATAAAAATCTGGCCAAATCTTTGGAGCGAACAGTTTTTGTTTCAGATTCTGAACAATAGTTATGAAGTAAAGTGTCGGCCCTTTCGTCCACTATTAGTCTCCACACGAGTTCATCAAAGAGAGAAAGGTTTGCAAAAAATGCCAAATAATGAGCGCATTCTATAAATGAGAAATGAGTGCATTCGCTCTCAATGTACTGTTTGACCGATTGGATCAGTTTCTGGTCATTAAATTCATTAAATCTCATGTATTTAACAATCGAGAGAACGTGTGTTTTGTTTAATTTCTTGCATTTAATGTCTTCGCAAACAATATCGGAAAAAATGGTTAAAATGTCATTCGATCTGAACTTTGCCTTTAATTTGAATAAAGAGTGACACAAAACTGCGATATCAGTTGAGGCCAACTGTCCATCGGTTGGATAGTCATTGAGAAAGTAGTGTTCAATTTTGTGAAGAAGTGTATTGATTAGAAATGAAGAGTCGTCTCGATTTTCAGTGTTTATAATTGAACTCAAATACAAGATTTGGTTTAATAGGAAAAAATTCTGCTTTTGTAACTCAAACGTGATTTGCGGCCGAAGAATGTCAAACACATTGATGGTATTCTTGTCATCGGTTCCATATATTACAGACATTGCGTCCAAAATATATAGTTTCGTTTTGAGAGGAAACTCGTGTTTTAAACACTCCCTAAATATGTGATGATTTTTAATTAAATTGTTGGTTAACTCTGTTCTGGACTTTGTTTCAGAACTACTGTTTGGATCCAACTTTTGGTTACGAAAAGTGGATTCTTCGAAGTGAACCGAATCGTGAAAATACCAAAATATCTTATTTGTCGACCTCTTCCTCCGCTTCAAGAATGATCTCAAATTTGAGTCAACACTTAAACAACGTTTTGATAATATATTTAATATCTTAGTCTTCATAGTTTGTCGACAATAAGCGCAACAAATAATTATCAAATCTTATGGTTTGGATCAAAAGGACACGAGTTCTTGTATTTGATGAGTAAATCGCGTTTCATAACCAACTGTTGTCTCAAAGTGTCCAACGACTTGAGCTGTTCCTCTTTGGTGACAGCGATACCATTGATGAGTTGCACTTCTTGTCTGAATTGAGTGAATTTGTCTCTCAGTGTCTGAATCTTGGCGTTTGAATCAGTGGTCGACTGTTGCGGTTCACGCATTGACACCGACTTCGGCCCCAATCCTGACAACTCATGTGAGTCTCGTTCATAGCTATCACAAAGACATCAATTCAGACATCGCTTCAGACACTAACACATCATATCATTGAGACATACCTTCTGATGATGTCGTAAATGAGTGGTAAAAACTCGCTGTTTATCTCATCCACTGATAAACTCTTTGACATTATTTACAAACTATTAAACAATTATTCAAATCATATAACAATTCAATCAATGCTTTCATTGAATGATTCAATCACTCATTCATTCATAAAATACGTCAATATATTATTGCAATTCATATTAAAATATTATTATACGTTTAAAATATGCTATTTTTAAAACTATAAAATTTACCTATTGCAATAAAAAGTTTTTTAAATGCAAAATTAAATCCCAATTATAACCATCTTATTAATCAATATTAAACCCATCGGAGATCGCATACAATTACAATAGTATGTATATAAAAGTAATAGTATTGAAAATTACCGTAGATATACAGCGTGACAATCACATTCACACCCCTGGGCGTAGTTATCCCTAGAAATAATACAGTAGTCATGAATTTTAGTATAATTCATGTTGAGATCTTTCAATTAGAATCTTGTTGGAAAAATATTTTTAATTACAATTTTTCAGCAAAGCACTAGATTTGTTTTACACCAAATTACTCTCACATTATTATTAGTTTTACATAATTATAAATTTTAAAATTCCTGGATAAATATAAATTAATATTAATTAATTGGTTTTATAAATAAACCTTATTACAACAAATGATAATTCATTTATATATTGACTTTAATGAATCAATGAAAAATTAAATTGTAATTTTTAAAAATATTTTATATGTAACCTTATGTAGTATGGTTACGTGCAATTTTGTACATGCAAGTATAGTACATAGAATAATACACAAGTATTATACATTCAATATAGTAAGAACAAATAAAGAACATCTTATTACACAAACCTACTCTTGGTAGATTGAATTGACTAAGCAATAAAACAAGGATCACACAACGATGCTATACGTATGTTAACCACAATTCGGGTATTGCTCAAAGAATAGATTAGCATTATCTACAGATTTAATATGAAGCATATATTGTCATAGACTTAACATTGCCAGTAAACTTAACATTGTCCATAAGATTAGCATTAGTCCCATAGATTTAACATTGTCCATAGACTTAACATTAGTCCCATAGTATTAATATTACTCATAGGATAACATTAACCCCATGTTAAAGTATAGCCATAGATTTAAGCTGTAATCC